TGATGATGATGATGATGATGATGATGATGATGATGATGATGATGATGATGATGATGATGATGATGATGATGATGATGATGATGATGATGATGATGATGATGATGATGATTATGTTGATGAAGAAGATGATGAGGATGATGATGATGATGATGATGATGATGATGATGATGATGATGATGATGATGATGATGATGATGATGATGATGATGATGATGATGATGATGATGATGATGATGATGATGATGATGATGATGATGATGATGATGATGATGATGATGATGATGATGATGATGATGATGATGATGATGATGATGATGATGATGATGATGATGATGATGATGATGATGATGATGATGATGATGATGATGATGATGATGATGATGATGATGATGATGATGATGATGATGATGATGATGATGATGATGATGATGATGATGATGATGATGATGATGAGATGATGATGATGATGATGATGATGATGATGATGATGATGATGATGATGATGATGATGATGATGATGATGATGATGATGATGATGATGATGATGATGATGATGATGATGATGATGATGATGATGATGATGATGATGATGATGATGATGATGATGATGATGATGATGATGATGATGATGATGATGATGATGATGATGATGATGATGATGATGATGATGATGATGATGATGATGATGATGATGATGATGATGATGATGATGATGATGATGATGATGATGATGATGATGATGATGATGATGATGATGATGATGATGATGATGATGATGATGATGATGATGATGATGATGATGATGATGATGATGATGATGATGATGATGATGATGATGATGATGATGATGATGAGATGATGATGATGATGATGATGATGATGATGATGATGATGATGATGATGATGATGATGATGATGATGATGATGATGATGATGATGATGATGATGATGATGATGATGATGATGATGATGATGATGATGATGATGATGATGATGATGATGATGATGATGATGATGATGATGATGATGATGATGATGATGATGATGATGATGATGATGATGATGATGATGATGATGATGATGATGATGATGATGATGATGATGATGATGATGATGATGATGATGATGATGATGATGATGATGATGATGATGATGATGATGATGATGATGATGATGATGATGATGATGATGATGATGATGATGATGATGATGATGATGATGATGATGATGATGATGATGATGATGATGATGATGATGATGATGATGATGATGATGATGATGATGATGATGATGATGATGATGATGATGATGATGATGATGATGATGATGATGATGATGATGATGATGATGATGATGATGATGATGATGATGATGATGATGATGATGATGATGATGATGATGATGATGATGATGATGATGATGATGATGATGATGATGATGATGATGATGATGATGATGATGATGATGATGATGATGATGATGATGATGATGATGATGATGATGATGATGATGATGATGATGATGATGATGATGATGATGATGATGATGATGATGATGATGATGATGATGATGATGATGATGATGATGATGATGATGATGATGATGATGATGATGATGATGATGATGATGATGATGATGATGATGATGATGATGATGATGATGATGATGATGATGATGATGATGATGATGATGATGATGATGATGATGATGATGATGATGATGATGATGATGATGATGATGATGATGATGATGATGATGATGATGATGATGATGATGATGATGATGATGATGATGATGATGATGATGATGATGATGATGATGATGATGATGATGATGATGATGATGATGATGATGATGATGATGATGATGATGATGATGATGATGATGATGATGATGATGATGATGATGATGATGATGATGATGATGATGATGATGATGATGATGATGATGATGATGATGATGATGATGATGATGATGATGATGATGATGATGATGATGATGATGATGATGATGATGATGATGATGATGATGATGATGATGATGATGATGATGATGATGATGATGATGATGATGATGATGATGATGATGATGATGATGATGATGATGATGATGATGATGATGATGATGATGATGATGATGATGATGATGATGATGATGATGATGATGATGATGATGATGATGATGATGATGATGATGATGATGATGATGATGATGATGATGATGATGATGATGATGATGATGATGATGATGATGATGATGATGATGATGATGATGATGATGATGATGATGATGATGATGATGATGATGATGATGATGATGATGATGATGATGATGATGATGATGATGATGATGATGATGATGATGATGATGATGATGATGATGATGATGATGATGATGATGATGATGATGATGATGATGATGATGATGATGATGATGATGATGATGATGATGATGATGATGATGATGATGATGATGATGATGATGATGATGATGATGATGATGATGATGATGATGATGATGATGATGATGATGATGATGATGATGATGATGATGATGATGATGATGATGATGATGATGATGATGATGATGATGATGATGATGATGATGATGATGATGATGATGATGATGATGATGATGATGATGATGATGATGATGATGATGATGATGATGATGATGATGATGATGATGATGATGATGATGATGATGATGATGATGATGATGATGATGATGATGATGATGATGATGATGATGATGATGATGATGATGATGATGATGATGATGATGATGATGATGATGATGGAAAAAAAAGTAAAAGAAATTAAAAAGCTTTTTTTTTTTTTTTACAAATTTAGTTTAATTATTTTTTTTTATTTTTTTTGTTTAAAAAAAAATGATAAAAAATATAATAATATTTAATAAATTAATGTTGTATATATTTTTATATTTAAAATATTTTTTAATAACATTAATTAATAAATTTGTAATTTCTATATACTCTGTGTGTATTTTTTTTTGTATACTTCCTATAATTTACCTTTTCCGTAATTCAAAAATAATAAAAATTATATTGACAATTAAATATAAAAAAATATATAACCAATTTTTTAAGTAAAAATATAAATTATTTAATTATTATTTCGTAGTTACCCTTCACAGATAAAATTATCATATGTCGGGAAGTTACCCTTCCTAGATATAATTTACTATATATCAGGTAAGTTACCATAAGTCGGTAAGTTATCATTCATAGATGTTATCCATGAATTTCTACTTTACCTACTAAGTGATTCATAGTGTTTTCAAGATCTACCGCACAGGACAATCGATGCAGTAGAGTAATAGTAGGGAGTGATGTGGTGGGAGAGATGGGGTGGGAGTGTAACCTAGCTACCCCCCCTTACCACCCTCTTGGCCACCCACCACCCCCCTAATTTGCATATATCTTTCCTACATATTAACATATACGGCCCCGAAAATTCAAAAATCATAATTAGAACGTCGAGGAACAAAGGGTTCGCGAGATACCGCGCGGGACTGTGGGTGGTTGGGAGTAGGTGGCTGTGGGTGGTGCACAGTGGATGACTCAAAAGTGTGCGCGGCACATGCGCGCGTACATCACCGGGCCCGTTGGTAGTCCATGCGTCAAGTGGGGATGGAGTTCGGTAGTGGGGTGTTGTGAATAGTGGGGACGACATGTACCTCAGGCGATTCCCGTGGCAAGGAAAGTCATTCTGTTCTAGGTTCCAGAATCAGCAGCATCAACCCGGGGCTCCTCCTTACATACACCAGTACTAGTAGCTGTCTCACCAAGCTGAGTCGGGTCCATGAGAGAGAGAGAGGGGGGTTCTTCTTCTCACTCACACCAATAGTAGCTGAGTCGGGTCCATGAGAGAGAGAGAGAGGGGTTCTTCTTCTCACTCACACCAATAGTAGCTGAGTCGGGTCCATGAGAGAGAGAGAGGGGGGTTCTTCTTCTCACTCACACCAATAGTAGCTGAGTCAGGTCCATGAGAGAGAGAGAGAGAGGGGTTCTTCTCACTCACACCAATAGTAGCTGAGTCAGGTCCATGAGAGAGAGAGAGAGAGAGAGAGAGAGAGGTGCTACTCACTCACGCCAATAGTAGCTGTCTCACCAAGCTGAGTCGGGTCCATGAGAGAGAGAGAGGGGTTCTTCTCACTCACACCAATAGTAGCAGTCTCACTGAGTTCAGTCAGGCGCGCAAGAGAGGGGGCCACCTACACGTAGAAGCAGTTGTAGTAGAAGCGTGCACATATATCTCATCTAACTCAACACCCTTGAGACTACTTTCACTTCACAGACTGTAGTCTCAGTGAGTTAAGACTTGTTTCTTCCCTGTCTCAACTTGCTCAAGCGCGCTAGAGAGGGGGTGCTACTTTTACACACATTGTGTGTTATAAAGTGTAGTCAGAACATTTTTATGTAAGTATTTATTTATATGTGTATATAATGTTAGTAATAATTAAAAAAAAAAAAAATTCCTTTATTCTGTTGCAGACTAGTCTCAGGAGTAACAACAAACAATTAAGGGTCAAAAGCATTCAGTTTGGAGGTTCCAAATATATCCGTGAGAGGGGGTTCCACTACATTCAACTACATTCAACAGCATTTTTTTTTCTCTGTTTCAGCTTATTCTTTTTGTTACAGTATCGTTTTAAATAAAAAACAATAATAAAAAATGGCTACACGCAGAAATAATAAACCTTATGAAAGAATAGTTTCACAGGATAGCATTAATGAAATTTGTGAAGTATCAGAAAATTTCATTAATGTTGCGAAAATTGAATTAGAATCTGTATCATCCAAGTCAGGTGATGATCGTTTCATTAGCGCATTTGAGTGGCATAACAAATGTAAAAAACATTATTCTCTTTTAAAAAAATTTTCAAAACGTTTCTCTTCTATTAAAGGTAATCAAAAGGAGAGAATTTTAAATTTACTAAAACAAATTTATTATTTTGAATGCCACTTTGATTCGGTAATGAAACGTGGATCAGGTTTGGAAGCGAATGATAGAATTAAATGGACTGTGACTGATAGGGCATTTAATTCAAGAATTCAAAGCGGAACAATTATTAATATGAGTCACATAGATGTTAATTTATTCTTAGATGATGCCTTTTCAATTTATGAAGATCAAGTTAAAGCCTGTTTAAATAGGTTAGGTTGCTTAAAAGTTTATACAGTTTTGGTAGCTAAATTTAAAAAGACTTTAGCTGATGGAACAAGTATTTTAGATTTGAAATCATTTATTGCAAAAACAGGCGAGATTTTCCCTGCAACAGATTTAAATAACTTTTATAATGAAAATGTTAAGCAAATAACCCTCAAACTTATGGAAGAATTTCAGGAGAAAGAATCAAATTGGCAACTTCACTCTATTCTCAGATTAGATGTGAACTTTAACAAATACAACCCTATGCGTGTTGGTTGTTTCATTAAACTGCCACTTGCCATTGAACGAAAAAAAGCCTGTATAAATGTCCGAAAAGAAGGTAATGAATGCTTCAAGTGGGCGATTCTTTCAGCATTATATCAAACCTCCTCTAATTCGGGAAGAGTGAAAAAATATGAGAAATTTGAAGATACTTTAAATTTTACAGGTATTACATTTCCTGTAACATTTAAGGATATCCGAAAATTTGAATCTCAAAATGATGTTTCAGTAAATGTTTATGGTTTACAAAAGCATAAATCAAAATTTACTGTAATACCATTATATCTCTTATCTAGTAAGAAAGTCTCACATGTGAATCTTTTACGCATTGAGGAAGATTATGATGAATGTGAGGAGGAAGATTGTGTTGAAAAATCAAACACTACCACCTCATTCACTTATCATTTCGTTTGGATAAAAAATTTATCCAGGCTTGTAGGCAAACAATTATCACAGTCTGAATATAAGAAGCATATTTGTGATCGGTGTTTACATTATTTTAAAAATGAAGAGGAGCTTAATAATCATATAGAAAATTGTATAAAACTAAATAAAACTAAAGTTATTTTACCAAAGCCTGGACAAAATAGGGTTCATTTTAAGAATTTTTATAACAAGGAGCGTGCTCCGTTTATCATATATGCTGACTGTGAGAGCCTACTGCTTCCTGCGACTGATTCTTCATTCGTAGGGGATAATACAGAAGTTTTTCAAAAACATAAACTTCTGAGCATTGGCTACTATTTAAAGTGTTATGATGACACTTTATCAGTACACAAAGCATCCCCTATTAATGAAGAAGATGCAGCAAAATGGTTTGCTCGTGAATTAAAACAAGTGGCAGAGGATGTTGAGCCTGTTTTTATAACTAACGTTCCGATGGAAGTCTTAAATGCAACTCAAAAAGCAGCATTCAAAAATACTAATGTTTGTCACATCTGCAGAAAAATTATCACGCATGGGGGTGTTAAGGTTAGAGATCACTGTCATATAACTGGTAAATATAGAGGAGTCGCTCATCAGGATTGCAATCTGAAATATCAGGTTTCAAAAACTATTCCTGTGGTTTTCCATAACTTGAGTGGATATGATGCACATTTCATTATAAAAGCTATCGCGACTGAGTTTGAGGGTAATGTTAGCCTCCTTCCAATTAATAAAGAAAAATATATAAGTTTTACTAAACACGTTGCAGCAAATGATATCAAATTTAAATTTATAGATTCCTTTAGATTCATGGCATCATCTTTGGATAAATTAGCATCTTATTTGACGAATTATAATATTGTAAATTCTGAATTTCAAGCCTATGATATGGATAAAATTCAGTTACTAACCCGTAAAGGAATTTTTCCATATGAGTACTTGGATTGTAGATTAAAACTTAATGAGGAACAACTACCGCCAATAGAGAAATTTTACAGTACCTTAAATGATTCAAATATAAGTAATGAAGATTATCTACATGCACAAGAGGTTTGGTCTGCATTTAATTGCAAAAATATCGGTGATTATGTATATTTATACATGAAAACAGACATTTTATTACTTGCAGATGTTTTTGAAAATTTTAGAGACCAATGTCTTGATGCATATGGTTTAGATCCAGCTCACTATTATACAACTCCTTGATTGAGTTGGGATGCTATGCTAAAGTATACAAATGTTGAGTTGGAACTTCTTACAGATATTGACATGATCATGTTTATTGAACGTGGCATTATGGGTGGGATTAGCCAATGTTCAAATAGATATGCTCATGCTAATAATCATTATATGAAGAATTATAATGAAAAGGAAGAATCATCTTACATTGTGTACTTGGACGCTAATAACCTTTATGGATGGGCTATGGTACAAGCACTTCCCTACGGTGGTTTTGAGTGGGTAAAAAATATAGATAATACATTTAACTTTAACATCCCTGATGATTCACCTTTTGGTTACATATTAGAAGTGGATTTAGATTACCCTCATGAATTGCATAACAGTCATAGTGACTTACCATTTTGTCCTGAACACTCAAAGCCACCTGGATCAAAACAATCGAAGCTGTTAACTACTCTCTTACCGAAACAAAAGTATATAATCCATTATCGTGCACTAAAACAAGCATTAGCACATGGTATTAAACTTAATCATATACATCGAATTTTAAAATTTAAACAGTCCACTTGGTTAAAAAGTTATATTGATTTTAATACTATGATGCGAACAAATGCTAAAAATGAGTTTGAAAAAAATTTGTTCAAACTTATGAATAATGCTGTTTATGGCAAGACTATGGAAAATGTACGAAAGCATGTAGATGTCAAGCTTGTGACAAAGTGGGAGGGTAGGTACGGTGCCGAGGCTCTTATTTCAAAACCAAACTTCCACACAAGAGCTATCTTTAATGATAACTTGATTGCTGTGGAACTCACAAAAACGGAAGTGTACATGAATAAGCCAATCTATATTGGACTTAGCGTTTTAGATATTTCTAAAACATTAATGTATGATTTTCATTATAATTATATGAAAATCAAGTATGGTAATAATTGTAAATTACTCTACACTGATACCGATAGCCTTGTGTATAAAATTAAATGTGCAGATATCTACTCTGATATGAAGGTAGATATTTGCAAATTATGTATATTATTATGTATATGGCATTCCGCAAGCTAACAAAAAAGTCTTGGGTCTCATGAAAGATGAGTGCAGTGGGAAAATTGTAACAGAATTTGTTGGATTGCGGAGTAAAATGTACAGTCTTCGCGTTGAAGGTCAAGATTTTATAAAAAAAGTTAAAGGTATCAAGACGGCAGTTGTGAAAAAAACTATTACTTTCAATGATTATCTATTCTGCTTAAAAAACGTTCAAATTCAATCTAGAACACAGTATTGTATTAGATCAAAATTGCATAATGTACACACATTAAAACAAACCAAAACAGCTTTAAGTCCATTTGATGATAAGAGATATTTATTAAAAAATAGTACAGACACTCTCGCTTGGGGACATTGCAATATTGTAAACCATGATGATGATGATGATGTAGAAATGTTACAAGTCTGATGTATATATTTGTTATTTATTTATATTTATTGTATATTTCTTATTTATTTATATTTATTGTTTATATTTCTTATTTATTTATATTTATTATACATATTGAAAAAAAAGAGTTGTAGTGGAAGGAAATTCTTATTAAATGAAAACTTTTTATTAATTTTATGTCTACTTTATTTAATATAACCTTCATATACATTATTACAATTGTTGACATAGCTCTAACAAGTATAAATAAATTCTCAGAAGATGCCTTTGTTCCTTTTTTTTCAAAAAAAAGCAAGTTGAAACAAGTCTAATCTGTGAAAAGCATAAATTTCTTTCTTTGTTCCTTTTCAAAAAAAAGCAAGTTGAAACAAGTCTAATCTGTGAAAAGCATAAATTCTTTTCTTTGTTCCTGTTCAAAAAGGCAAGTTGAGAAAAGTCTAGACCATGAAATGCATAAATTCTTTTCTTTGTTCCTGTTCAAAAAAGGCAAGTTGAAACAAGTCTAGTCTGTGAAAAGCATAAATTTCTTTCTTTGTTCCTTTTCAAAAAAGCAAGTTGAAACAAGTCTAGTCTGTGAAAAGACTAAAATTTTTTTTTAAATTATAACGACTTTTTTTTTTTTGTTTCCTTCAACAATGAAGTTGGAATTTGTCTAAACTTGCTTAATTTCATTCAGTATATGAAAAGAACATTCTCTTAACTTTTCTAAAAGTTAACTTTAACTTTTGAAATAGTTAACTTTAACTTTTCAAATAGTTAACTTTAACTTTTCAAATAGTTAACTTTAACTTTTCAAATTTTACATTTCTGATTTTTTTATCCAACTATTGTGAGAATTATCGAATCCAAGCCATTTGACATAGATTTCATTACGACGATTTTTAAGGACTTTTTCTACCAAATAAATATCTGGAAATTTCACTTTGGAAATTTCTTCTTCATAGAAGCCGCCTTCGATGGGTTGATCTTGATAATCCTTCAGCTTGTAAGTTACTGGATTCGTTGATTTGACTTGAATAATGGTGAAAATTTCAGTCGTCCAGTTGGGTGTGTATCCTTTTTCAAAAACATTCTTATACTTGCTCACTCGTACTCGATCACCAACTATGAATTTTGCTTTTTTAGGCAAAATTTTTCTTTGTTTGGAGATGCGTTTCAACAGTTTCTTTTCATCTTCTCTGCTGACATCCTTAGGTTTCATTCCAATAGTACGATGTTTATTGTTATTATACTTTGTAACAAGAGATGGTAAAATGTCTTCCCATTTATAACTTCCTCGTAAGTTGAACTGTGGCCACATCATATTTTTTAGTGTGCGGTTAAATCTTTCGATAATTGAAGCTTTTAAATTACTATAAGTTGAATACAGTTTAATTTTATATGATTTCATTAAACTCTCAAATATAGAATTATAAAATTCTTTTCCTTTATCAGTATGCAAGTTTGTAGGAACACGTCCATTCACAAGTATAGATTCCATAGCTTCAGAAACATCTTTTCCACATTTACTTTTTACAGGAATAGCCCATGCATACTTGGAAAATATATCTATAACTGTAAGCATATATTTAAAACCTTTATTAACTTTAGAATAAGGTATCATTTCAACTAAATCTGCTTGCCAAGTTTCATCAATTCCACGCATTTCTACTTTACGACGTGGATAATTTCTCCTAGCTTGCCTATGTAACTCTGTCACAACTGTTAACTTTTTATCATCCATGTTCAAGGATTTATAATAAAATGATCTGAATAGAACAATATTCAATATAATAATGATGTTGATTTTACAAGTTCACTCTTAATATATAATTTGAGCTTCCCGTAATTCTTCAATTATTGACATAATTTCATTGTTATGACTTGAATTACCAGCCTGTTGTGATGCGACAAGTAAGCGTAGACGATCAACAATCTCATTTGGATCATCCCAATAGACATAGTCTGGATATGATTCTTTCTTCACCGTCATAAATTGTGGTAATTGAGTTTTTCTCTTCAAATAAGAATCTCCGGATTTGAGCAAAAGTTTTGCAATAACATTAGTATATTTGTAAGTCTTATTACTACGAATAGGTTTATTTGGGCTATAGTTCTTTCTATGTGCATTCGTACTACGCAGGATTTCTTTATAGTTTACGAAATCATTAGCATTTGTTAACTTCTGATCAGGTTTTTGTCGGAATATGAGTTCCAATAATCCATCCGTTTTAGAATATTTTTTCTTCCCAACTAGGTTAATGTAAGAACCTTCAAAATTAATTTGTGTATCACCAATCATATATGTACCGTCGGGAAGTTTACGTACTCCATAAACCATATCTATATATTGTTTCCTATTTTTATCCAACATTTGTAGAAATTTCTTTGTTAATTTATCAGAATCTTCTTCTTCTTCCAGAGTATCAATCACATTACTTGCGTCTTTAATATTATACATGCCTTGCTCATGAAAGGTATCATTAAGTATATTATTATTTTGCTCATTAACAATAATATTATGATTCTCTTGATTGGGCAATCTATCAATTATATTTTCTTTTGATAAATTTTGCATGTCTTCTTCTTCATAAATAGGATCATAAAACGTTACATCATCATTATAAATAGATTTGTTGAAAGGTGTATCTTTACTAATGGCAGTCTTAAAAGATGATTCAAAGTCTTCTTCTTCTTCTTTCTTTACATGGTTTTGAAAATTTTCAATCTTTATAGGATTTTTAGTTATATTGACTAATTTTTCCAATGGAGTAACTAATGGTTGAAAGGTTTCTTTCAACATATTTTCAGCTGACTCTCTGCCACTTTTAAGAATACGATGCTTTCGACGTATAGCATCACTTGCTGCAGCTATTTGATGTAGTGTCTCTCGCTCCTTTCGAAACATGTTTATTTATGAAAGTCTCAAACTGAACTAATACAATTCTCTTGAAATGCTTAATATTTATAACTGAATAAAGCAATCAAATCCCTTCCTATATCTTCCATCATTTATATTTCTATCTTTATCAATAACTACAAATCCATACCTGTCAGAGTTCCAACATACTGAACATAAATCTCGAAACTGTGTAAAAGTCATATCTGTATTCACATGATCACTGTAAACATGCTTGAGATTCCTTTCATCTTGTCTGAATAGCACAAGCAAATTAATATTATCTCTAACAAGATGTTTTGGAATATGAGCATATGTTTGACAAAGATAAAAACTATCGACGTTAACATGCCGCCCCATACAAAAAAACGCCTTAACATTGTCCTGCTTCTCACAAGCGATATCATCAAAAATGAAAATTGAATTAGTTTTTGCATCCTTAGGCGTAACAACTTGTTCATGTTCACTGAATGGGAAGAACTCGATGCCATCTACTTTACTAAGTACTTGTTCCAAAAATTTATATTTCGGCTGCTGTAATGATTTTGAATATAAATATATATTTTCAAATCCTAAACCATTCGGATGTATAATCAGAGAGAGAAGTGCATTCGTTTTTCCACAATTTGATGGTCCACAAAAAGCTGCTCGAATACTATTTGAAAATAAACTTCCATGTCGTTTAACCCCATTATCTTTACTTTCAATGAG